TAATAGCCCACCATGTCCGCTAGCTGGTTGTGTAATTATTCTTAATGCATCCGAAGCTGACTCCTGATTTGAGGTCGAGGTGCATAAACTTCTCATCAGCTGTCAGCCTGGACTTGGCTTCTGCTGGGTCGATCTGCGACAGCTCGCTGAGGCTGTGCACGCTCAGCTCGAGGTGTTTGTGGTCATCGGGCGCACGCGGATGCCGCGCCAAACGCAACAGCAATCCGTCTTCAGAGTCATAGCTGGTTTCCTGGCCCAACGCTTGGCAGGAAGCAAGTCGCCTATGTGGCCAACCCTCCTGCCAAGATTCTTCGCCACTTAGGATGATGAATCTTAAAGCTTACAGTAACTCGCAAATGCGCGGAGCCAATTGCAGCCCAAGTTGCGATGCACTCCTGCAGGATTCCAAAGAAGCTATTTGAGACTTTGAGAGGATCGCGCGCGCAGGGACCCAAAGCACCTCTCGCAAAGCCGAGGGCTTCTTCCCAATGGGAGGCTTGTATGCCACAAGGAGCTCCTGCACCTTTAAGATCAATTCCTGTCTGGGGAAATGTTACATCAACCCGCTGAAGTTGCACAGTAGACACTGTGAATTCAAAATACCATGACCATAGACCATAGAACAACTCATCTCAGGTAAACAAACAAATATTAATATAACGGCAACTACGGACGGCAACTATAGAACAAACATAGGAACAACTAAGACTTTTCTGCCCCAACAATGGCGCCTCTGTCTCTAAAACCTCCTCCTCTTGGTCCTCACTGTCGCTCCCCTCGGATCGCACACGTACATGCAAGCGGCCATCTCTGTAGAAGCACACCACCAGGTCGCTGTTCCTTGCACCACCCATCACCCCCGGCCCAAAACGCGGGGCCCTTTCAGTGGGGAAAGGCACCAGATTCATGAAGAAGCTGGTGCATCCCACAAAAGGCACGAACAAGACAAGCATGAACAAGCACAATCCAATCATGTCCAATCACACATCATCAAACCAACAGGGCATCACATGGCATCATGGCATCACTTTACCCACGAAGTCCCTTCTGCAGCTTGCCATGATTACGTCATGTTGTGTCCACATCAACACCACCAGGCCACAAACAGCCTGGTAGAGGCCGTTCAGTCGCCACATGTCGCCACGAAAAACAGTCGCCACTCCCCACAAAAATAAATGGTGCCATGTGAAACCGACGACGAAAAGACATGCTTCTGTCTCAAGAACTGAGCATTCAGTTGCACCACTGGGCCCGTCTGTTGGGCCAGTGCCACTTGTATCGCCTGGAACTGCTTCAGCTGATTAAGATCGGTACATCCGCCGGCGCCCAGCGCGCGGGAGAGCTGATGCACTGCGTCAAGCAGCACCGCACGGAGGGCCATGAAGTTGGCCTATGTAGCGATGCAAGGCGCCAGGCAGAGGTGATTGGACAGGTCAAGGAATGGAAAATAGGAGATGGAACATGATGGAACATAAATAGGATCAATCAACAAAGGTACATTCCTGCGGATTTGCAGGAGGTGCCTGAACATACAACAAGACATTCCTTGGCTCGGACATATTAGGACACATGGCAGGGAGTGATGGTGACGCCCGGTGCAATGGAGGAGTTGAACTCTTCACCTTCTATGTGTCTAGATTTGATGTCTAAGTTCTCCACCTCTCTCTCCCTCCCTGTCTCTCCCTACCCCACTCCCACTCCCTCTCCCTCTCGCTCTCGCTCTCTCTCTTTTTCTTCGCTCGGAAGAACGCCTTGTACTTAGAGTTGTCCACCTTCTTGATGTTCCTCTCGAGCTCCTCTCGGATCGCGCTCCAAGAGGCTTGCATGCTCCGAGAGTCGGATCTGGCCGAGGGCAGAAGGCGACCCAAGAGGTACCTGAACGGAAAATCAGCACTGTCACTGAAGGGATCTGCACTGCTGCGTGTTCATTTTTTGGGTCATGTTTGTTGACGAGCAATGATTCATACAGAATCTCAGGAGGAATACGAGCAATGTTCAGCATGAACAGATATGAAAGCAATTTATCGAACATTGATCAATGCTGCTACTATGTTGCAACAAACCTGTTAGGACTCTGAAGGCTTCTGAGGCTCGCTGAGCCAAAGGCAGAAATACATGGCATCTTATCGTAAGATATGACCCAACAACTTCTCTTCAGAAGAATGGGTCTCTCCCACTGATAGTGCACACTCATTGAATCAACAGTTGCCGCATGTTGCTGCCATTTCCTACCTTCTCACTTCAGTCCCAAACAACTCCCCAAATCTGTCAATCTGCTCAGAATCTTTTGCCGTGAATCGCTGTGATATCCTGTGCTTTGTTCACCCCAAGACCTCCCCATGACCTCAGCTCGGATGCAGCTGGAAGAAGGCGTCATCCGCCGCGTAGCGGCGCTGCTCCAGGGTCAATTCTGCGGACCAATTGGAGGTCCCAACCGATTTCAGCTTTTGGAGGGGGAGCTCAAAATACTGCGCCTGGGCCAGGCAAACACCCATAAGATTTTGCATGTCACACTCTGGTCATTGTCAAAGGTTGCGTATACTTGTGTATATATAAATAGATGAGAAGGCTTGTGGCAAGTACAGGTGGAAGAACTTGAACTCTTGATCCCCAGGCACCATCTTCAGCATGCCTTGTGGAAGTCCCTGGGCACCGGCCAGCTCAGCGATATCCCAGTAGGAGGCCTTCACGGCTTGCTCCTCAAAGTCCCAGCCAAAGCTGTTCTTCAACTTCCGCTTATCTGCGAGGTCGAAGCTGGCCACCACCTATGAAGGAAGGTATACTAACAGGGTGGATGATAGACTTAAATCCAGGGTCAATACCTTTCAAGCAACAACAATGCAAGGTATGAAGGCATGAAAAGAATCAGTCAGGCGTGTATGCTCTGCGAGTTGAGTGAGCTTGGCCAGTTGGGCGATACATGACATTTTCTGGACCCGTTTTCGATGACTTTCAGGCTGCAAGGTTAATCGTCATGAGGGTGCCCCGAAAAATGGCGAACCATGCAGAACCAATTCTCTCGAGGAATCTGATTCAATTCCAGGTCAACAACCACCAGCCACCTTCCAATCTTCGTCCCATTCCTCATAGAACATCCACGAATCGAATCCACTAACCCACATTTCCAAAATCATCCAAAACCAGCCTATTCTAAAAAATCATTAAACACATCCCAAAGATCTTTGGTGAATTGAAGATTGATGTAATTTTGAACATTGGTATCTCCACAAACCACCTCTCACCTTGAGGATCTCCTCCCCAGACTCCAGGAATGCTCGGAGCCATCCCGGCAGCTCTGCAGCGCCAACGGTCCGCAGCAGGAGCACAGTGTCCCAACAGGCGAATTGCATCAAGGCCTGTCACTCTCATTTCCAGGTGCTTTCTCTCGACCTATAGGCCTTGTGAGAGCTGGTGTTGTATTGTTTCTGGCCACTTTTCGCATCTTTTCGCCACATCTGTTTCGCGCTGGCGTGAGAGTGATGGATCCAGTAGTGCTCACAGACTTGCATGGACGCTGAAGCGTTCCTTGAGGGTGTGGTTTGCTTTTTGCCCCATTCTGAAAGGTAAACCAAGCCGAGCAGCAATTGGATTGTCTGAGCCCGCTTTGTCCGGCTTCCATTCAAAGTCAAGGCCCACCAGCAAGGGCAGGTCTACCGCATCACACTGTTCACGAAATCGCAGCACTGAGAAGGCGCCCTCGAAGGCCGCCTGCAGCGTGAGGCTGTGAGGCTAAGGTGTTCTTCTGCCTCCGCTGATCGAAATGACACTCCCTGAGCATGGTGAGTTTACCGCTTCCATGATTCTAGGGAATGTACCCGAGCGTGTCATTCAATCACGACCATGGGTGTTTTTGAGGATCAGATTTATTTCTGCTGTACCCCACGTGTCAGGAGTCATTTGGCCTAGCGAGTGTAGACCATGTCAGCTCGAAAACCGTCCCTGGCCACTTGCCGGAACGATCTTCTGTTCGTTGCCTTGCTGGAGGGCTCAGCGAAAACCGTCGGCCACAACCACTGGTCCGGACGTCCGCACGGTCATCACTGGCGTTGCAACATGCGACGGAAGACACGTGTTTCATCTTTGTGCTTTGTCTGTAATGCGCCCAAAAGTGCACCAATTCCCCAACAACTGTCCCCCCAAAACATCTCGAGCAAGCTGAAACTCGGATGTTCAGGCTGCCTGGGCCTTCTCTGACGCAAGGTCATATTCCAGCAGTGTCCCTGAGAAGGTCACGTACTCTGCCAGCGGGCCGTGTGACATCATCACTCCATGTGCGCGGGGACCCAGGCGGCCGTGGGCATCAAACTCAAGGACGGAAGGCCAAAGGATTTAGGGCCTAAACACTCATCCAAGAACGCAGTAGCTCGAGGAAAATTCTACTAGTATATCGCTACGAACGGAGCGATCGGATGCTACGTTCGGGGCGCTCCTGGCCTTACTACTAGGAACAAGAAGCTAGTAGTAGCAAGGACTCTTCGCTTTGACTGCTGTACAATTGTGAGCCTATGCTACCGTATGACTGTATGACCTTCTATATCCTTCTTGCCAATCTGAACCAGAATCACATGTTGTACCCCTGTCTGTGTATCACATGAAGAAGCTCTTCCTGCGCGTGTAGTACTTCAGCCATTGCTCACATCTGTGAGCCCAATGGCTACAGCCAAGGTCGCACATGAAACAATACCTGAACACCACCTCATTGAACACCAGTCCGGTTTGCTGGCATCTGCTGATTGAACAATGAATGACACTTTGTTAACTGCCCGATGATGTAGCAGCACCTTTCATGTCCAAGCAGAAGTGTTCCCTCAAGAAGAAATGCTCCCTTGATTCGACCATGAAGTGTGGAAGAAGAACCAAGCAAGTCTTGGCGGATGTGGATGACGTGCCCACTCCCTGTTTTGAATTGTCCCAAGATTTGTTTTGATTGTTTTCGTAAGAGCTTCCGTTTCGGGTAGGACAAGTGAGTCGAGATGCAACTGCCCTCCCCAGCCGCTCTCCTCGTGCACGGCGTGCCGCTCCATCTTCCGATAGGCGCCGCTGAAGCGGCCCGGCCTGGTGCAAGACAGATGTCGCTTTCGAAAAGGGAAACATTAACACAGAAAAACAAACAGAGATAAAGACCACAGAACAGAGAACGCAAAAACCACTGTCCCTTTAAATCGACCGGACAGATGGGTTTTGCAAAGCTGTGAGGTCGTGGTTCAGTGTTTGAGTCCCGGAGGCCCACAGGTAGCACGGGTAACATGTCGACAGGCCCCGAGCTCCCGCAGATCTGCTAAGGCACACGGCTGCACCCACCGGCAGCCCACACTCAGCACCTTGGCATCAAGAAGTTGAAGGCCTTCACAGGAAAACCCCCACTTTGACTGATTGAAACCAGCAATGAGGCTCACAATCTCATAGCCTCAACAGCCCCTGAAGCACCACAATCATCTGATGGCAAAACTGAATCGAGTAGTCTTGATCCATGCACGTATTTGCCACGTTGGAACTCACATTTCATGGCACAAAGTCAAGCGCAAGCGTTCTTTTCATCCTTCTAATCTCTCTGTCTCTCACTCTCACTCTCGCACTCTGTGGCCAGATGGCAATGGGGTGAAACCCGGGCTACCCGGTCGGATCCACCCAGCAGGGCAAATCAAAATCGCTCTCTTAAGGCTGCAGCCACGACTCGGCGATGGCTGTGTTGTGCTGTGCCGTGCTGCTGCCGGCATCATGCGGGTGCATCATAGCGAACGGCCTCCCTTCGAAGAATGTCCACTATGGGACCCATCAATCGCTTGAAGGTCTTGCGATCCATTGACATCAACTGCACATTGGGCGTAGATGCCACAACACTGGCGGCCCTTGGGGCATTGGAAATGAGGGAGAGCTCTCCAAAGTAGTCACCAAGCTTGTGGGTCATGACCTTCTGTGGCTCTTGTCCTTCTACAAAGGCCTTCATCGCCACACACTCGCCTTCCATGACAATGAAGAAGCAGTCACCCGAATCACCCTGCTTGATGATCTCCGTGCCCTCCTCCAAGACGAGCACCTTCATGGCATCGGCGATGGTCATCAGTTCGTACTCGTCAATGCTCGAGAAAAGGGGGACCTCCTTTAAAAAGTGCGACAAGGTCTCCCTCCTTCCGGCAGCTGCATCCTTGACGATGTTGTTGAAGGTCTCCCGATCAAGCTCCCACAGGGTGGCTTTGTCCTTGCAAACCACGGTGGCTGCCCTGGGGCAGTTGTAAAGCAAAGCCAACTCCCCAAAGATGTCACCAGCAACACAGGTCTTCACGAGTTTCTGCTCATCGTTTTGCTTCTTGAAGCACTCTGTCACCCCTTCCTCAATGAGAAACATGCTTTGGCCATCCTCACCTTCTTGGATCACAGTCTCTCCAGGCTCTACCACTTTCTCCTGAAATGCGAGAATGATGGTGGCTAGATCCTTCTTCTCCAAGGCTTGGAACAGGAAATTCGGTGCCAAACACTTCTCAATGCGTGCTTTCTGGTCATCTGATTTCTCATACACAGGAGCGTTGAAGGCACATTTCTGGTTCCAAGCGCCATAGGCCTCTGCCGAGACACTCTGCCGTGGACGAATGGGCTTGAGATTCTCAGGCAGGTCGTCGACTTCGTCCTCGTCCTCCTCCTCTTCTTCAGACTCTTCATTGGCCTTGGTAGACCTCTCGGACTTCACATCCATCCCACTTGCAAGCCCGGAGTCCTCGAATCCGCCCAGGATCGCCAAGAGCTCCGACTTCCTCTCCTGCAATCTCTTGATTTCCGTCTGCACGGTCTCGATCTCTTCAGCCGTTGAGGTGCGCTGTCCTTGTTCTGCACCATCCAGTGACTTGGTCTGCTCGCAAAGCCACCTCAGCATGAAGAAGGAAGGATCGTCGGGTCGTTCCAAAAGCACTGCGGTGACCAACGCCTCCAGGACGGGATTCACCTTCTCCTGGATGTACATCAAGTGCTCCTGTGCCGAGCGGTTCACCAACTGTGACCGGTCCGACATCGCTCTGGTCGCTCGTAGCGTCGCTCGACCCGTGTTGCTTGTTTGGTAGCGTCGCTCGAGCCCAAGCCGCTGTGCGGGCTCGAAGTTCAGCTCCTTCAGCTACCTCACGCTTCACAATTGTCCGTCAAAGAATCGGTGACTGTAAGCATTGTTAAGCAAGTTGTTAAGCAGCAAGAAGTCTTCAGACAGCAAGAGCGAAGCAAACACATCACTGTCATCGAGTCATTGTCAAGAAGTAACAGAAAGTCATTGAACTCATCAGTGGCTCATTGCTTCTCTCTGCTTTACTTGGCTCCCTACAGGGATCGGTCGCAGCTTGCCAGCTGTAGCTGGCAGAGAAGGCCGTGGCTGGGTCCAACCAACTCACTAAGGTCAGCTGTCCTGAGTGGCGCGTGGGGCTCAACCTGGCGCGCGAACCTGAAGAACCTGTGGAACGCGAGTCCACATCGGTTACTTTGCAAGACACAACATGTGCTGAAATTGCAAGAGATGAAAATAGATGAACACACATGAACTGTATTGAGCTGCTAACTGCTCTCAAGCGCGGTAGGTACAAATGTGGAGGGTGCTGATACCACCCAGTGCAGTTAGTTGCGTGGTGCAAAACCAACCTACTTGTCACCAGCCGCCTTTCCTCGAGGTGAGGAACAGCGGGCAAGCACATGAACAAGCAAATCCCTCTCAAACAGGCTAAACGACCTCCACATTTGCTCAACGGCGTCCAATACAGTTTCATACCTGCCGTATCCCCTTCCAGTTTCATGCCTAACTTGTTCCCAAACAGTTTCATGTAGCGTAAGTGGCTCTGCCCCGGCTTCAGCTCGACTTGCTGCACATGCTCCTGGACACCCTTCGCCTTGAGACTTCCTTCATCTGGAAAACTGGGCTGCAAATTGGCATTCCTCAGAAGCCGCCAGTGGGTGCCGCGGGCTGCCCCAAACCAAGCCAGCAAGCACCAAATACATTCCACCATGTCCCACCTTCCGTCCACCCTCCTCCCATTCCACCAAACACGCCCCCAACCTTCTCATGACCCCCTATCCACCACCATGGTCCGATGCCAGGCATCTGAAGCCTCCAATGGATGGATGCCATAAGCCCAGCAGGTGCCACCGTGGCATCAAAGACGAGGGCGATGGTTCCACTGTCCCGGTCACTCCAGCAGCGCAGCTGCACACCTGGACACGCCCAGGCGGCAACCTACCATGCACCCCATCCCCACCCTACCTACCACATCCTACCACCCACTCCCTCACCCTACCTCCCCACACTCTGCGCCTCCTTGCTCCTTGAGGCAAACACCCCGTGGTCCGAAAGCTGCTGCCTCATAAGCCTCCCGCTGTGCCAAGTCGGCAAAGCCGCGCACCGCAGCATCTTCCAAACTCACGGGGCGTGGTGCATACACCTCGTGAGGGGCGTGGTGAGTTGGCTGGAGCGACCGAAAAAGGTGCGACGTTCCTTTCATATGGAGATGCTCTCAAGTTCAAGGTAGGAGAAGAATCAAGGGGAACCAAGTGGTTCATCTCCATGAAATTGTCTATGGACCAGATGCTCTTCCCCCAATATGTGGGTGGAGTGGAAGACACACACAAAAAAAACACATCTGACCTTACCCAACACCCTCCAACACCCTCTACAGGCATGCCAAAGCACACGGAAGGTGGCATCAGAATTCCAGCTCTGTGGCGGCTGGGCTTGAAGCCAGTGAACCACGACCAAGTAGTTGGTGCCTGTGGCACAGTCCAAGCGCCAAACATGTGATATCTAGCCTCACACCCGGTCACCTGTTCCTTTTGTGAAACGATATCTGTCAAGACTCAAGGAGAATTCCTTTCGCACACATCACATAGCTGGAGAAATTGGAAGAACCACCAATCTACACTTGCAACACATTGACACATGCCAAAATGCAAGTGAAGACATTTAATTTACGTAATCTCCTCCTCCATCCCTACATATGCAACCAGGAAGACACCACGAACCGTTGTGTCAAACGTCCGCCTGTCTTCATCGCCACACGTAAGACCGTCTCCCGTTGCGTCGCGAAGCTGGAGGAGGCCACATGTCGTGCACCCCGGGTCCACCTCACGGGCGGCACGAACTCCGGACGATCCAATGAGTCACTGAAGGATGGGGGTTGCCTAAGCTGGGCGAAAAGGAAAAAAGGACGACGTGTGGCACATATATGTTGACATATGTGGACGGAAGCGAGATTTCTGGGTGACTATATATACAAGTGATGTTGGTTTACGTTTAGTAACTGCCTGGAAACCTCGTTGAGGTTCGAAACAGCCAAACATGGGCGAGGAAGCCTTCTTTGTCTAAGGACATCTATAAGTACCCACGGGCTCCTACTAGCAACTAGTACATTGCTGTGGACTACGCCGAGTGCGCACTCGCCACACTCAACCACTGACAGCCACGTCAGCTATGGCTATAAGCCTAATGCAGAAACTCTAAAACATCGTGAGACTCTAAACCAAACACCATCAATATCCATCAATAAACAAAACACACTTGGCTTCTCACTTCGTTCAGCCCTGCTTAGCTGCTCAGCCCTGCTCGACTGCAGTTCAATTCCTAAGATTCTTTAACCAGCCCCTCCTGGAACCACCCCCAAGCTTGGTGAGATTTCAACTTTGGTCTGAATCTACCAATCCGCACGCCTCGAACCTCACCCTTTAATACCGAAACGCGCCAAGGTGCGAAGACGGGGATCCGCCTGGCGATGTTAACCTTGGAGCCGCTCACATGGTAAACCACGTGTGTACGTGTTGAATATAAAAGACCTGCCAGGCAACGACCCCTGGAAGAAGGAAAATATATAACCAAAACCATCCAACAAAAAGACTGGCTGAGTCTCTTCGGATTCAAATGCACACCCATATGTTCACATCATCTTACTACCAGTGGAGGATGTTCACAGCCACTGTAGCCACCACTAAAGGCAGCAGATCAATGGGGCACATGTCTCGCCCCTCGCCCGCCGATTCACGCCTCGTGGCTGTGAGGCGGATGGACCCAAACATGAAGCGGAGCGCATCGTTTTTTGCGGGGGGCGCACCAAACCCGTTGGTTGCAATTTCCCAGACACTCCATGTATGCCATATATGCCTACATTGACCCCTAAAACCACCCCAACTGATCGGCATATATGGCAGTCCCATGGAGTGTGTGGGTTTGTTCGATGCTTCTGTTGCACGGCTCTGCGTCGGACCACCCCTACAGCCCACGTCCTTGCTCCAACCCCGTCGCCACGGCCGTCGCGGCGGTGGTGCCAGGCGGCTCAAAGAGCTCCAAGCGTACTGCAGAATACTTCTTCCGCTGGTTACGGGTGAAGGCTTCGTCGGATTCTTGGATCACAGAGATGACAGCCTCCAGAGGTCGTAAAAACGAGCAGCCGTTGAATCATGCCACATGAGCCTATATATGAAATTATATGAGCCTACTGATGCCGAATTGGACATTTAGGTATGTCGTGTGTTTCTTTGCTGACGACTTGCAGAAGTGCCAAGACTGTGCGAAATTGAAGTGAAATGTGATAGATCTACTGTACATTCATCATCATTCATCTATCAACCGATTGCCACTCTTCAGCTTCGAGACTAAGTCTAAAAGCTGGTGTACACTCTATATCATACTAGGAGTCTTGCGATTAACCGCCATGCACGTCGCCCGTTTCGCTACGTCTGAACCACAATGGCGGTTTGGCAGCTGTCCTCAGCTGAAACCTCGACTGGAGAGCGTGCGATCTGATAGACAACCCCGGCCGGGCCAGCCTCCATCTCTTTTTGGTCGTCCAATGGCAAATCCACACTCACAGCCACCTGGCAGCTTGCGCACCAGCAAGCGCGGCACAAGCGCACAAGCGCTTGTTGATCTTTCAGCAAGTGGTCAAGTGGCTGCATCCAAATGCTGAATGTTTCAGTGGGATGCAACATCTGAGGAACCACATCTGCGCCAAAACCGGCCCCGCAAAACTAAACCTGTCCACGAAGGCAGTGAAATGTAAAACAAATGCTTGGATTGAATGGATTAGTAGCAACACGATCTTTCCCATGCAAATCCTGGCTGAACAGGAAAACACCACAACCCGCCCCCCAAACCAAAAGATCTTCAAATTCCAATGCTTTCGCTGCAAAGCACCTGCGAAGCAGTTGGCTTCAGGTGGCACAAGGTGGACACATAGCCAGGACCTTGGCTTCAAGAAGGGCGGATGGAAAGCATGGAGAAGGACATGGACCAAACTTTTCTGGCCAGTGATGACCTATACGGAAGGATGCATCCTACTACCAGGGCCCAGTGGATGATGATGAGGCCTGGTTGCAGGCCTTTCTCCAATTGGTGATCATTGTTTACTGACTGTTACAGGTAAGAGGACAGACCCAAACCCAAACAAAAAAGGAAGGATGCGGATACGATTTGATATGACCCTCCATTGCGCATCATCTAGGCTTAGCCCTCAACCTCGCATACATTGGGCACAAGTCTAACAACCGGCTCGTGGTCTCCCACGGTCTTTCTCGCGTCTTCTGGTCATCCTCGGTCTTTCCTCTTCGCCGTCTTCGGACTCCATTCTACCAAAGCTTTCAAGCCATTCCACCAATTTCCTGCAAACTTGTTCATAGCTTACTCACTTCCTGCTTGGTGGTGTGGAGCTGTAAATCAATCGAAGCATCTCTTCGTACACAATCAGCCACATGTATGTCGAGAGGTTTGGAGCTAAAGGCAGCTTTGGGCTCCTTTGGTGGCTTTGGGGGGGAAAGGCTCCAAGCAAGGCATCATCCATTCCAAACATTTCCCATCTTTCCCCTTAGCCAGTGATTGAACATGTGTTCAATTCTCCACCCTGAGTGACACAACAGCCTCCAATCGTAGAAAGCCGAAGGGCGGTATTCTGAAACTTGCACCGTCGAGAAGGCTTCGCAAAAGTTGGACTGGCGGGTGGGTGCTGCAGTCAATCTGTGGCTCCACATTCATCCGTATAGAAGAACAAATTAGGTAAACTGCTACTAGCATCTGTGCAAATTGGTGGTAGTGGTCTCTCTGGCTTCCTGCGGATCTAGATCTTCCAATTCTTGACCCTCGTGCCTACATCTTCCAATTGAAATGACCATTCTTGGTCAGAAATACCCGTCCAAGGTCATGGGCCATCTGCATTTTCCTCCAACCCTGCGAGTTCAGTGCCAAGAACGGCTGGGCGTACGAAGCGCATCCAGAAGGTTCCCAGGTCTTCTTCCAGCATCTCCCCTTCAGGACCTTCCTGCCCGAAGAAGCTACGAAGAGTACGTCTGAGGTTGAACTTGATGGAGGTCGAAGAATGGGAACGCACAAAATTCAAAGGAGTTTCTCCTCTTGGCTACTTTTGCAACCTTCTGGCCTCCAAACTGTGTGGCACATTTAATAGAATCTGACCTCCGTTTTTTCTTTGCCAAGGAATTCCACATTGGTTGATCTAGAGATCATCTCCTCCGTAGCATCCTTTTGGACTCGCAGGAGCAGGAGCACAGCTTGGTTTGTTTAAACTCGGAATTGGCCAATGGGGCCAGACCGGATGACCGGTGGCGCACTCCACTTCCAAGGTGATGATGATTCGGGGTCCAATGAGGTCGGTCACCTCTTGCCTGCTTCTCATTGACTTGGGCCGGTGCGCTCTTTGAAGCCCTTCTTGCTTCCTCAAAGGCCACAGTGAGGCAAGTATGACCAATTAGGCATCTTCACCGCGTCATTTTCTCACACTGATGGGTCCAATTCGAGGATGCGAGTCACATCCACCGTGACGGTCTTCACTGATCGGTCCTTGTCAAGAATTCCGCAGTCAAAGAATGCACCGCTGAATGGCAAACGAGTCTTCTGCCTGGAACGCGTGCCATGTTGACATGGGCCTACACTTGAAAACCCCACGTTCCTCCACGTCCTAAACACCTGTTTTGGGGGAGTGGTTAGTATATATAATATATATATATATGATAACTATACCAAGATATATATATATATCATAATCACTATCATAATCATATTTCAGCAGCACAATACCATGTGACACCTGGCGCCTCGAAGCCTCGAAGCCCACCGCTGAGCCTCCCAGCGGACCACCCTTCCAGCGTCCAGTCCTAAGAGGCTGGCGGACGGCTCGGAGGCTCGGAATCACCTGCACCTGCTGATTCTCCGGTCTGCCAAAAGCTTGGTGATGGTGGGTGTTTTTCTTTTTCTGGCATGGTGTTTGTTGTCCCAGCGCGATCGGTTCATTTAAAATAAGTATTTCTATAAGATGAACCTGCCCGTCAGCCATCTCTTTCGTGTGTTTGAACTCCCCAATCCAGTCAGGCAGTTTCATCACCTGGGTTGCCAAACCCCCAAGGATTGCGAAGGCGAATCCAACGCCTGAGCGAAACAAATCACTGTCTCCCGCCTTCAAGCCCCATTGTGCTTTGACAAGTGCTTGTTTAAGCTTAATTACTGTCTTTTGTTTAATCGGTTTTTAAGGTTCACATTATCTGGTGAATTTTTGGAACAATTTTTGATGAATTCATGCGGATACTTTGATCTCTGGCAGGCTGCAGCTGGGCGAGTGGCTCTTTGCGAAACCAACTGGTTCCTCCGTCTGCAGCCGCCTCACCACAAAATCATCTTTGCGGTCTTGAAGCTGTGACATTGGACTTTTGACTTTGGGCAGCAAGAAAGTCCGACCAGCATGACGGGCGTTCAGGTGCACTTGCAAGTGCTTCGGTCTCTGAAGGATCCAAGAACTGCGTCTGAGCCTCGACCGCAGCCAGGAGCGTATAGCCTGTGCTTCGGTCTGCTGGGACTTATTGCGGAAATGCACTCTCAACCCCTCAACTTCCCTGCACTGACCACCATAGGCTATAGGAATGTGCTTAAGACTGCATCAGCCCGTATATAGTTTTACATGGCCGTACGGTGTCCCAGGAAAACCGTTGGCCCGGCAGGTGAAGGCACAAACAGTGCACTAAAGTGATCAAGTTCGCCAAACCTAAACACCTACAGCTACAGTTAAGGCCCCACATATGCGATGGGGTACCACAAAGGCCGGTTTGATCCACGGGATCCACAACCCCGCAAGCGAGGCTGAAAACACACAGCTCGAGTAGCAGTGAGCTCCAACAAGGCCAGTCTCTTCATCCACCTGATCCTCCCAGGAACTGTAAGTGAGGTTTTTTCTAAATCTTCTGGTGGTGACTTCATTTTGTAATCTTCTGCATGACCACCCAACACTTCACAAACAGTTTCAGCGGTCGAATAGTGCTCTCATGTGGTCATGTCGTCCAAGAAATGACAACTTCTGGGTGTTGTCTTTGGCTTTCTTTGTGCCAGGAGATGGCTCGCTCTCTGCTCTAGGCTTTTGCTCTATAGTGTCCGAATTCGCCATGTAGCTTGTGGAACCCCTCCTCCTCGTAATCACTATCGCTTTCCACCACCTCAGCCTTGGCACACGATGCGCACTAGGAAGAACCCTCCCTCTCTGCGACTGAAACAGTTACAAACGAAACACCACCTCCACAAGCAAGCTTAAGTCATTTTTCAATGTCTTTTTGAGGGCCAAAACGTCCACACTGTTGGCTTGCACTTGCACCAATCCCGATTCCGAGAGGCACTTGAAGAGGATGGGGACGAGGCAAAACCAAAGAGCTTGGCAAAGAAGCCCCCTAGGCACGTCGAAAGAGGCGCTCGCAGCACGTTTTGAGGAGCATGAAGAGATGCGAGATGCAGCGGCCCAGAAAAGAAGCAGTGGCACGGCAAGGTGACGGGGCAATGACGCAACATGAACAACCCATGATGGCAAACTTCTGACCTTAAGTACTACGGCCCTTCATGGCCCTTCATCTGGAAAATGGGTATAGCCTCCAGCGGTTGAGTTGGCAATGTCTCACCTGAAAGGAACCCAACTGAGCTTCAAGCCATCTGGTGGTGGTGGCTTCTTCTTCCCTTGGCAATTGGCCTGGGCACTCATAAACTTGAGGCATCCCAAAACTCACCACATGAGTCTCTTTCCACTATTTACAAGATCCTTCAGTAAGATCAATTTGAGGCCTAACTCATCAACACATAGTTCTTCTCAGCGAGGCCGCCCATCGCCTCACCGGTTTGCCAGTCACCCGACCGTCCAAGTCCTCAGATTCCGACGCACATGGGCTGGCCATCTTTGGTCGCCTTCTCCAGGGCCATCCACACCTTCTCTTTGGTGTCTCGTTCCGGACCTGCGCACGCTGAATCGGCATCCACCGGCGAAACCAGGCCTCTAAGTGTGAGAGGGGCAGCCTGGAAGTGTGAGAAACAAGAAAAAACGCATGCCCGGCTGCCCAGGCTCTTGCAGTGAGACCCTTTTGCTCTCTGGCTCCGCGGTGCTTTGAACCACCTCAGCAAGCTCTGGCTGATGACCCGCTGGTTTTCTTCGCTGATCGTGTGCAACATGCTGATTGAGGAGTTGCCCAGCTGGCTATGCTCTTTCTAAGGTTGCATAGCAATTTCATTTCAGGTTTTCCTTTGAGGACATCTGGGTCTGATTGCCTACAGTTCATTGGACCCTTGTTCCCCACGTATCCCGAACATACACAGTGTCTCACGCGTGTGGCACGGGGCCTTTGCTGATGGGAACAAACCAAGGCGCTGCCCAGCACTTCCTTGCGATAGATAAGACTCGACTGCTGAACTCTTGGTAGAACTCCAAAGGCAGCTTAAACTGTCCTCAGATGCTTTCTTCGCTCAGCAGTGCACAGAAAACACACCTGCCAAACCCCTCAAACGAAATGGGGTTTGTGTGCGCCCCACACGTTTTGCATTTGACATCCCACGTGCTGCAGTTTATCATGCCCCAAATCCATACAGCTTTGTGAGTGACACCCAGCTATAGAGCTATTTATGAGGTTTCCTGGTCCAGTGATTTCCTGCACTTCAAGCGCGCCCCCCCTTACACGATCCCATCCCATCCCTCACCCAAGCACCCCAGAACTCATCGTCACCTCAATCCCCCCAACAGAAGACATACTAGTAGCTTCTTGCTCCTAGTAGTAAGGCCAGGAGTCCCTAGTAGCTTCTTGTTACTACTAGTAAGGCACTTGTTACTAGAAGCGATGCACTTGTTCCTAGTAGCTTCCTACCTCATCGTACCTTCATCCAGGCTCGGTCGTAGGTCAGTAGTCCGTTCACCTCCGTCTCCACATCCGTCCATTGAGTGTAGATCGCTCCAGCCACGCCCCCAGCGCCTGGGAGGACGCAGGCGTTGAAGACGAAGAAAGTCGCTGCGCACGCAGGCACCACGGAAACCCTCAAGCAGAAGTCAAGCCATGAGCCGGGGTTGGTACATGTTGCTGTGCAAATTATACTATATTCTTACCTCGTCTCCCTCGTTTTGGAATTCGCATCCCGGGGTTTAGCACCTCGCCTCGTTATATACGGTTTGGAAAATATTGCCCCGCCTCGTTAGTTCCACCTCGTGCGATGACGGGCGGTTAGTAGTAGTAGTAGTAGTAGTAGTAGTAGTAGTAGTAGTCGTAGTCGTAGTCGTAGTCGGTCGTAGTCGTAGTCGTAGTCGTAGTCGTAGTAGTCGTAGTACTCGTAGTAGTAGTCGTAGTCGTAGTCGTAGTAGTAATAGTGGTGGTAGTAGTAGTCGTGGTAGTATGTTGGTACGTGTTGGCATCATGTTGGCACCATCATGCCGTTTTGCAGTTGCTGAATGTTGCTGACATCATTTCAGCAAGTTCCCAGAAATAGCTACTTGTTGACGACGTCCACCCGGACACCCCCTTTAACATCCTTTAACCATCCCCCCTTTGCACGTCGTTGCACCGCGAAGGCTTCTCCCTTGCTCGAGCCAGGGCACAAATCGCACGAAGCAAACGTCCCATGAGCCTCTCCAAGCCGTCAGCGAAGACTTCCTCAAGCAAAGACCACGCTGAGAGCGCAGCGGAGACTCTTCTTGATTGATCAACTCCCCGAGCCTGAAGAGGATTTTCCAATTCACATGGTAAACCATATTAATCACGAGTCTACATTAGCTTACAACTCAGGTATGCACCAACAATCTTCAGCTTCCACCCTGTCGAATTATCACCTGAGTGCTTTGAGCAAACAAACAAACAACTTCAACAGGAACAAAGAGCAAGCAACACGCCATTAAACTCAAGCAAAACATCTCCAAAACATCATTGAGAGGCTAACTTAAGTCTGGACCTCTCCAATCCGGGCTGCTGGGTTGCGGTTGACCTCCTTCTCTCCATAGCCCCACTCATGATGCTGAGACCATCGGTGTCCCTCTACAGCGTAACCCAAGCCGCCATATTCTCCCAGCACGGGGACACGGCCTGGCACAGAGATCTGGACATGGGCAAAGCAACAGAATATCCATCTAGATCCATGGACATGTTTGCATTTCTTGAAATTTGATATGGAACCTGAGTAAAGCCTGGAGTGGTCAAAATTGGGATGCAAGTAGTTCGGCATGGATGTGCATCTGAATAAGGGGATCCCTATTCACCCATTGAAGAAACTGAAAGCAAACAAACTGACGAACATCTCAGTGGCTGGGCATTCTTGTCCTCCAAAATCCACGGCACACAAAGACTGAAACAAGCAATGCGGTAGTGTATGCATTTGGCATTCTCTTCTGGAATTGTACGTGCTAGTTACTAGATGACTTACTGTATGTATTTGGAGGTTGGCAGCTTGACAACAGCTGACAGCTTTCCACTTCCCAAAGCCACTGACATATGGTCACGCAGGTCTTGATCCCAAGCAAGCCCTGAGCTCCTTCAAAGACAGTGCTTGCTGCCTCTGCAAGCTCTTTACGGGTCCTTTGACATACTGTAGTAGCATTGCCTATCTTAGACTCCTGAGAAGAAAGCTTGTCAAACTGTTTCAGGACCGCCCAATAATCAAATACCATGATGATACACATGATGATCTCTTACACTGCCCCCCATGCAAGAACATTCCTTAGCCGCCCGAAGAATCATAATTATATAATTGTCTGTTTACCAACTGAAAAAAGTGCCAGTCTATTCTATGTGCCCATGGAAGACCAAACTCTCGAAAGAAGCAGGTCCTTTTTTGTACCGCATGTCTGCTATCAACTATAGTTGGCTAGAAACCCAAGCAACTTTGCACTCGCCGCATAGTCCACTTCATCACTGCCAAAGGCTCAGCTTTGCACAGCGCCTTTGCGCGCTCTTGCAGCGCGCTAGAATTACAGCGCTCTGCTGGAGAGCAGCCCTGCAGGTGCTCAGAGTGGATTCGGTGCTGGTGACCGCTGGTGCTCAGTTCGTTTCCCAAGGTGAGACGTTATGACTCCAGGTCCACCTGGCCGTCCACGAACGAAAGCGGTCGCATTCGCGCAGGTGCACCCCTGCTCTCGTGTCGCAAGGAGCAAACCTCGAAAGGCAACGATTGCATAGTCTATTGCATCTTTCTAGTGTACCTGAGAGTTGTCCAACATCTTGGTGTTTTAAGACCAGCTTCCCAACCTTCCAGAGATACACAAGTCAGGCAAACACCTATCCCAACATGCTTCTCCAACGCGAGCCGAACTGAGTCTGAGTATCATGACTAAACAGTTTTCAATACAAGGGGGGTGACGGTCACTTGGGACAAGTGCATCCTCTATCCACAAAACAAAACATTCAAAACATGTACAAAACTACCTTTGCTCTGGATCCTCCATTCACGCCACCCGGCAACCATTGCTCAAAATCACAGAAGGGATGCCTTCCCAAAGTGCAGAAAAAGCGACCGGAGGGAACCGCGGGGACCTTTCATGACCTCCTGCAGAAGCCCCAAGCCTTTTGGGCCCATACTTCCATCTCCGCTCCCAGCTGCTCCGCCTGCCCGCTGCTTCTGACCTGGAAGGCGGTGACCTCCGCGCGCGCGGGGCGCGCGCCGTTGGTGCCATCCAGGCGCAAGCGCTGACCATCGTGGCGCAGGAGCCGCTCCAAGCCATGGGCTTTCAGCCAGGTGTCCCAGCGCGCCTGGGACGAATCGAGGTAGGCAAGGGATTCAAGAGTCTAATTATGATACACAACTTGTCTTGTGGATCTTTTCGTGCTTTTGCATTGCACTCTGAGTCACAAAGGGTTGATAGGCAGTGACAGGGTTGATGGGGATTAACCGATTTCAAAAGTGCGACAACAAACTTACAGCAAAGCGGTGAGCTTTATGCACCATCAAAATGCACAGTATGTTCCAGAGTTGGAGCATCCAAAACATGGTATGCCCAGCTTGAGAGGGCCAAACTATGTTTGCGGCGAATCATGTGAAACTTGATGCAGTTGAGCTGCAGCAAACTCAGTCCTGCTGGACTCTTGCAGCTGCTCCTTCCAGCATGCAATTGGCCCAAACATGTTCAAAGTAACAAGGACTCCTTACAGAGGGCAGTTGGTTAGCAATCGCCAATCGCTTTCTAGTCATGTGGGGCCATGTGATCTCTATGTCATGCCTGAATAGCCTAGGTCTCTCCCTCTCCCCCTGTGTCCTGGGCGCCCACCTCCAAATCCAGCTGGGCGCCCGCCAAGGCAGTGCGGAGCTTCCGCTCGAAGTCTTGACTGGTATCCTCCAGGTCCCCAGTGGCCAGCAAGGTCCTGGCCGTCCTGGCCGGAGCATCGAGTCGGAACCTCCTGACTTGGACCCGTTCGGGTCCTGACTTAGTGGAGCCAATCACCAATCGCCATGCAAACCGAGTCAAGAAAAACAGGTGCGGATTTGTGTTTTATACTACAGCCTTTTGGAACACAAGGCTGTTGGAGCCCAGGTCTCTTCTCGTCTCGAAGGGGTCCTGGAGCCCACGAGGAGCGCCACCGGAAAGGCCTTCAACGTGGCGCTGATGGTCACCGCCACGGCTCGGCTCCAGCGCTGCAGCGACTGCTTCGACAGCGACGGGCTCGGAGCGCTCGCGCCCGGCGCTCCGGGCGAGGCGCTCGCGCTGATGGGGGCGTCGCGCAGTAAGAGGACCCGAGGGAAGAGAGCAGCCAAAGCCAGCAGGACCAAGAAGGCATCCAGGCTACAAGCACTGGGCCTGGAAATGAGCTCATGCTGCGAGGTGAAAGTGTATTGCTCGAGATGAGAGGTTCAAGTGGATGCATGCTCAACGGCTCATGTTGACGTGGGCCTCTATGATTGGCTGGCCGAGATGCTGCCCACGCAGATATCCGCATGTGCGTGCCCCCATGTGAATGAAGAGGCCCTATTGATCATTTATAATCCACATATGGGGGGGGTGATCAAGATTCTACATGAGTGTCACGGTGTTTTGTCCCTAATAGCTTCTTGTTCCTAATAGCTTCTTGCTCCTAGTAGTACGGCCAGGAGCCCCTAGTAGCGTCCTTGCTCCGTTCGTAGCGATGCCAGGAGCCCGTAATAGCTTCTTGTTCCTAATGTGTCACGGTGTTTTGTGCCATTCACATCTCCCAGGTCCTTAAGAAGGCATAGCTCGGTGCATTCGCAGCATTGGGCCATCCATGACGGTCGAAGAGCTCACGGAGGCTCTGGAGCGTTTCGGGGCCTGCACGCACGCGCAAGAGCTGCCCATCTGGAAGGTCAACTGGGACCACAGCTCGGCGATGGAGGGTGCAGTGATAGTATGAATGCATGACGTCATACGCGCTCGCAGCATCAAAGCTTTCCTAAGACAGGCTCTGACGAAAAAACGCCGGAGAACACACATTTTAGCTATTTAGCGTGTCACCGTATGCTATGGACCTTAAGGCCGGAGAGAACATGCATTCTGAAATGTGCTGTGTAGTCGATTTGCTCAAGAATCAACACATGGAGTGGAAAATTCACTTCGGCCCCTGCATAGGCTTCAAGCATCAACCGTAGGATGGACAATCAACACTCCCTACATTCCCCACATGAATCATAGTGCTTCCATGTAGTTCCTGATTTGTCTGCTGCTGCAGCGCTTTGTTTCACCCAAGAAAACACCAAGGCACTGAGCTCTCTTCTCTCAGCATCCGCATGCACATCTCAACAGAGACCTGGCTTCGTGCCTCTCCGTCCAACCAGTGTGGAGAAAACGAGGCGGCGAAGGCATGCAATGGGATCTGGACGCTGGACACCCTGGACACCTCGACGGATGTCTGGTATCCTCGCCAGCGACGCACCGAGACCACACGTGTGGAGAGGCCAATTCATGCGAAGTGATGTGAAGTGCTGGGAAATAGAAAGAAACCCTTGAGGACAATAAAAAGGAACATGTGATTCTGGACCTGGCTACTACACTCCACGGAACTAACATGGAAGATCATGGAAGTGGATGGCATGGCCCCTTTGAAGATTATGTTCCTCTATGTTCCTCTACAAACAATTGACCGTGGTTTTCCACTTCCATGTTAGTTCCAGGGGGAGTATTTTGATAGGATTGACTTGGAGATGTTTAGGTCACCTTTTGCAAACCAGCATCGAAAACGATTTGGGATGGCCACGGTCGCGGCGGTAGCCTTATCTTCGCGATTGGAATCTTCATCCATGCGAGCCATGGCGGGCAAAGAACTCTCCCCATCATCTCGAATGACTTCTGCAGCAATGCCCAGCGCCCCATCTTTGCCTGAGAAGAACTCCTTCATGTCTTGGAGCCTTTTTTTTGGAGACATCGTTTGCTCAACGAAATTGTATCCATGACATAAATAGTTGTTATATTATGTTGTTATATAAATCAGTCATTCAGGAGGAAGAAAAACAAACAAAACACAAGAACCATCAAACAATATCACACACACAAAAGCAATAAAGCAATAAAAACACCTTCAACCCCAAAATAAGAAAAACCTCCAGATCGCCCAACTCTTTCTTCCCTCCATTTAAATTTCGCCAGGTCACAAGCGCCGATGCTTCGTGACATCCACAGGAATGCCCAGATCGACCAAATCCTTCAAGAGACCAACCCCTCGAGACCATTCTCCATTCCACAAAGCAGCATCAATTAGTCGATCCTCAGTGTCGGTGGCCAACACGGCCGCCCGGCCCCAAAACGACCCCGCCGCAGCAAATCAACTGCTGTGAGGTTGGGTTGTGGTCAAGAACAATGTCAAAAGCTCTCGAGGGCAGCATGGCAAGGGCCACAACATATGAGTTCGCAAGGGAATTCCATGAAACTCCGGCTTCAGAGGGTAAATGCCGCCTTGTCAGCCTTCCCCAACAGAATGTGGAAGAAGAAGCTCAGTGAGCATAGTAATATATAATACTAATAGTATCATGTCGCTCTAGAACTAAGTGAGCCATAGTAAGGCCATTCACAAACAACCAGCTCAATGTTCACCATGTTTCATAGACCTTTCTCCACTGATGCTGCCTTTCAAGCTCCACAGTTGCCGCT